GGTCTTATATTAATTTTTGGTCTAAAAAACGCATTGGGGCTTATTTTCAGGGGATGTTTTATTTTTTCATGTACAACAATCTACATTTATTCAAATACAGTCACGTCATCTTCTGGTTGGTGCACAATAGTGGAGAGTGGGGTTTCACTTAACTAGGGCTTATTTTGGGGGTAGGGCTTATATTACGGGTACCCTGAAAAATCATACTAGGGCTTATTTTCAGGTTAGGTCTTATTTTCAGGAAAACATGGTAGATTTAAAGGGAGAAAGCGCACCAACAGCTTCACATATACACAAGACTCAACTTAAAACTATTCCCTAAAGCAAAGTTTCCATATTCACACCGAAATCCATAGGGCCTGGGTTCTCATAATCCAAGATGTCCCTCAGTGCAGAAAGTACTAGGGGATATGAGAGCTTCACCTGCCTCTGATGAATATCTTTACTTTGCCACAAAGCAGGAAAAGGCCCTTCCACTTCCTCTCTCTTAACAGCATAACGTGACGATTCACTACTGTCTTTCCACGTACGGAGGGTAGAGGATTCCAGTGACAATTGGCTTGATGTACACATCCCAGACTAAGGTGACGTTCAGAATATAATTGTCCTTCAAATACCATATTTCTCTGAATTTTACAACAATGCTCTTCACTCAAAACTTGTAATTACAAGAGGGAAAGAACCTATACACAGGCTCTGGATACCACCGTAACCTGGATGAGCATTTTAAAATTAACACTTTGGGGTAAACTATATTTAGCAATCCATAGCTTGATAAATATATTTTAGGAGTGGGCATTGTAGGAGAAAACACCTTTGAAAGCCCATATTTAAATGCACAGTTTCTTGCAGATTCTACTCAAAGTGCTGATTAATGTGGGAACAGAAGGCAACAGACCTATCAATGAACACATGACAAATTGACATAAACGAGAGAAATAAACTGATCCACCCCTTCCTACTTCTAGTATATACAGTATACAGTATTAGCCTCGATTTGGGCCTGTTCTCTGTGGTCTTCCCTGTAGATCTTTAAGTAAAACACGGGCCCATCTGTCTCAGTTCCTTCCAGTGATGTAGATCTATGCTTGAATAAGTTCTGCCAACTACAGGAGTGACTGCTGAGCCCTGAGAAAAACACATTTTCCTCAAGTCTTTTATCTCTGTCTTGGCTGCAGTAAGCTGTAGCATTAGGAGATAAGCTGAGAAACAGAGACTTCTATATATCAAAAACCATAAACAGTCCATTCTTCACTTCTCATATCCTTAAAAAAAAGTTTCCAGGTGCTGGGTTATTAAAAATGTCAAAAACCATCAAAACACCTTGAGACCTGGGAAACCAGTATGGATCTGATTTAAATCGAATTGATTTCAATCATGACTGAAATTTTAAAAATCAGATTTTTAAAAAATTTAAATCATGATTTAAATTGAGGTCTTTTTTCAATCACTGATTTTTATTCACCCTGCTACGAACATTATGCATATTATGCAACACTAAGAAATTATGTTGTTGTTGATGTGCTGTCAATGCACAGCTGACTTATGATGGTCCTAATAGGGCCTTTCAAGGTAAGTGAGATATTTAACGAGTAGTTTTATCAGTTCCACTCCCCCAGTGAGCCTCCATGGCTGAGTGAGAAGTCTTAGTCTTAGACCATCACTCTATCTGCTACATCACACTGCATATCCCAAGAAATTATATTATTAACAGACAATACCTGAGGAAAGAAGCAGGTTTAAGGTTTTAAGGCCAACTGTTGAAAGGTGTACATTTGCATTGTGGATCTTAAGCATCTTAAGAATGTGCCTGAAGTAGGAAGAGAAAAAAGCCACCTTGATATCCATCCAAAACACACAAAACTGAGTTTCAAGAATGCAAGAATCTATTGACATACAGAAATAAGCAAACACAATTTCTCTCTTTATAATAAATAGCAATTTAACAATATAAATACTCATAAAGACCCTGATTTGTGTTTGTACAATGATCAGTAGTGTGAGGGGATGAAAATATGCTGCAAAGTACACAACCAGCCAACAGAGCAAGAAGGAGCAACACAATGCAGATCCATCAAAATGTGCATCCACAACTATTGCAAAGGTCTCAATAACTAAATTAGGCAATTTTCATGAAATCTTAGCCTGCAAACCAATCATTTGGATTCACCGGGACTCCTTTGTGTAACTATACATTACCATAGCTTTGTAATATTATCCCCACATTTTCCAAGTTTTTTCTCTGTCAGCTTAATTACCTTAATTTTCCTTGGTAAGTGCAGTTCAACTTGCAAATACTGTAGTTTGAACAGAGCCATATTATGTTTTTAAGCCCTCATGTTATAAATCTGGAACTCTTAAAAATCTTCTAACTTTACTTTTTGTTGAGAACCACTAACAAGAATTGTAACTGGGGAATAACAGAAGAATGGATCTCCTTTTAAGGCAATGTTTTAATGGGATTTAATTAAGAAGGTAGCTTCACATGATTGAAAATGGTCTTTGTAGATCACAATAATTTGGATAAATGGAGGAACAATTTTTCCACCACAGCAAGTAAGTTATTCCTATCCCTTGCATTCTATTGCCCCAGTCCAAAGCATGAGTTTTTCTGCCCAAGGGGGGAAAAACACACAGAGCAATCCATTTCTAGAACTCTCGTGTCAAATTTAATTTGGTTCTTAGAAATCTTCTATATTCTCATATACTTCATCTCAGTCAATAATAGATGATGAGAGATTTAAAAAATGATGTAATGGCTTGAGGACTTAAATTCAGATCTCCACACAGCCATGGGGCTTAAGAGCCTACAGTGATGGCGAACCTATGACATGCGTGCCACAGCTGGCACATGAAGCCCTTTCTTCTGGCACACGATAAGTGTAGCAATAGTAATAGATATTTATTGAAGAAGTCCCCAGACCATTTCAAATAAACACAAGTGTTCTGGGTCCTTTAACTTCCTATCCATCCCCATGATTCCCCCTTTAACTTCCTATCTGTCCCCATGACTCCCACTTTAACTTCCTGTCCGTCTCCATGATTCCCCCTGAAACTGCCACTTCCTGTTCCGGTTCTGGTCTTCCGGGCGGGACAGCAGCCACTGGTTTCTTCCCCACCCCCCGATTTTGGGCACTCAACTCGAAAAAGGTTTGCCTCCACTGACATACAGCCACACACTATGTTTCAGTATACAGTACAGTACTGTAATCTATTTCACAGGGTTGAGGTGTAAATTGAAAGGGGGAGAATCATGTATGCCAACCTCTCTGGGGGAACAGTTCACGATAAGTGTAGTAAAAGTAATAGATATTTATTGAAGAAGTCCCCAGACCATTTCAAATAAACACAAAGTAATAACAAAAACAACAGCAAACGCTTAGCTTGCAAAGGGCCAAAACCACGCAACACCAACTTACACACACAATTTAGTGAGAAAATTTGCCACAATAAAATAAACTTGTCATGTTTGTAAAACCCCATTAGGGACAAAAATCAGTGACAAAAACATTGTCATCAGTGGGGTTGGGAAAAGTGGGTCATAAATAAAGACCTGATAGATAATCAAAGGAAGATGCAGCAAAATCAGAGTTTAACTGAGGTTTCTGAGGGATATAATTCAAAAGAGCAATTTTTTCTAGCTCTGCCACAAATTACTACCATATGCCTCTTAGCCACATGTACATCTAAATATAGCACAGACGCTTCTAAATCAAATTAAGTTGAATATACAGTATGGTCATTGGGAAGGTAACAAAGCCCAAGACTGACCAAATTGGCCAGATTTAACCATAATCTTCTTTCATGCAAAGAGGTGCCCATCTAGCAAGTTTTCCCTAAAACTATGGGTTTCAGTCAAGCTGTGTAGATTGGTGAAAGAGAATGTATTTGAAAGCACATACACAACACATGCATAGGTTCTGCCTTACAGTAAATGAATGTAAGACAGCATTTCTCCCAAGAGTCTCACTGACAAGTTAACATTCAATTTATGCAGATACGGTGGTGCCTCGCTTAACGGGGTGCTCTGTTTAGCAACGAAATCGCTTAGCGATGACTTTTTTGGAGCGTTTTTGCGCTTCGTTT